CCACTTGGGAAGCACGGCAGCGCTCCCGCCCGAGGGTTCGGATCCCACATACAGACCGGTTCCCGCTCACTGGCTGAGCGAGGCACGGGGGCAACACCGAGGGTTGCGATCCCGTTGCCGGTCCCCGGTCCGGTACGGGGGCAACACTGAGGGTTGCGATCGGTTGCCGGACACGGAAAAAGAGACAAAACAACAACAACAACAACAACAACAACAAAATCCCAGCGTTAAGATGAAACGCTAATGAGGAACTTGTGTTTCATGTGAAAATGTAATCTGGTTATTTTGTACACTCTGAGAAAGCCACCAGAACGTATGTGTTTATTTGATGGTACACATATATAATTGCATTTCTAAGGGTCCAAGAGAAATCTGACACAAAAAATTATATGCATTGCCCAGGGCAAACGTCTTTTGGGTTCATCACTTCCCCCCAAATTAAGTAAAGAAATGACAATTCTCTATCTCGTGTTGCTCTTTTTGAGTTGGTCACAAGAATTTACTTGTAAGAAAAACATTTAATTTTTTCCTCTATTTCTCCTTGGCTATTTCAAAATAAAAATAAAGCCAGAAGCATATATCCTGAATAAAGAAAAAGAAAAAAAAATCCCCCCCCCCAAAAAAAACAAAAACAAAAAGGAGAGAGGACAAAGAAGAACACTACACTAGACATTTGAGAATCCATATGAGACCTGATATTTTCTTTGCCCAAAGAGTGAATTCCAATTTCTGTCGCTTAGTTCAATATTCCTGGAGATGAAAATACTTTCTACCTTGTGAATGCTGAAGACCATGAGATCATTTTTACAGCCACAAAACTGCCTTCTTCATGATAGAATACCTTACTGTATTTCCTGTAGCACATGGGCTAAAGGATTCCCTTTAACTTTTCAAGGTTTTAAGAATTATTGCCCGTATGGCTTTAATACAAATAATGGAATACAAATAATGTCTAGTGGCTCAGGATGAGCCAATATAAAACAGATATTTTCTGTTTAATCCTGTAATGTCTTATTTATACAACGAAGATTTAATTTTCAAATATTTAAACTTGCTTCTGGTTTTTGTCTTGTTCTGTGTTCAGCGCTCTTTTTATACATTAAAAAAATGTTCTGGTGGGATGCCATTATAATATTAACTTGTCTACCTATTAATTTATTTACACATGGTTTTAAATACATTTTTAAAAATATAGACATTGTCTGGTTTTAGGAAAACACAACCCTCCTCTGTATTTGGATATTTCTCTTCTCAGTCTCCAAAGACCTTTCAGTTTTCCCCGAGACTTAGGTTCCTCCAGTTTCTAAAAGGGTAATTATGTCTCAAATCTGATAAGGTAATCCAAATTGCAAACCTTATATACCCATACAAGTCTGAGAAACTCTTGCAATTGGAGTTAAAATTATTTCAGGACTAAGAAGCTAATGAATTGTATTCATTCTTACATTGTTATGCTTGACTGTGGCAACTATTATAATGTCCTAATAACAGGTGTCACTGAAGTATCTGTTAATGTAAAATGATCAACTTATTTAAATAAAATCTGAATCTGAAAATAAATGTTTTCCTAAGGATCACTAGTCTTAAATTATACATTGCTGAACTAAGAACATTTTAGAATATGTACAGTAATACACAATAATTCACTTGATTTTACTTGAGCCCAAGTTACTTTCTACATGGGAGCAGTGCAACAGATGAGAATATAAACAGAAGCTCTTTGTTATGAGGGCATAAATCCATACGCGTGGTGCAGTTAGTTTTACGCAGACGAAGTTTTTCCAGCTGCTCCCCTTCGATCCCCAGATCTCTTCTTAGAACACTCAGGGCTACCTCTTTCCATAGAACAGCATCTTCCAACATGGAGTTCCTAACGTTAATTGGTATTAAACAACCGTGGGCGGGGGGGGGAAGGGGGGTTGGCCAGGTTTCTGCTAAAATAAGTTTGTAAGAAAAAATAATATTGCAACAGAACTACATAGATTGCAGGACTTTTCAGAAACTAGAATACACTGCTAATGTGTAATTTGAAACTCCAGGAGAGGACTGTATAGAATTTCTCCAAAGTTTTTTTCAATGGAACATCTCCTGAGAGATTATGTTGAGAACCTCTTTCCCTTTATTCTCTGCAAATCTGCTCATCATTAAGGTTCATATCTGGTCACATCTCCTTCATGAGGCTATTCCCAGTCCCCTTAGACTTCACCCCTACCCCTTTGGCATATGACTGCACTCTTATGGTTTTTAGGACTCTCATTTCTATTTTACGCCCCCTCCTTTTTTTTGGGGGGGGGAACAGGGATTGTGTCTTTGTTCTCCACTAAATTAAAGCCCCTTGACATAATGGTCCATACACTATGGACTCTCATTTCTATTTTACGCCCCCTCCTTTTTTTGGGGGGGGGAAGAGGGATTGTGTCTTTGTTCTCCACTAAATTAAAGCCCCTTGACATAATGGTCCATACACTATTTACATGTTTTCTGTCGCATCTTACATAATGCCCAGAACTTTGTAGGAACTCAATGCATGCTTACTGAACAGCTGATGTCATCTATCTCAAATGTGTGCTGTTGATTTCAAGAATCCCTCTGAAAATAAAATATTTCTTTACCCACTGGAGAATTGGTGGGTTAGACCTTCTTTTATTTTTAAATACACCTTTATGCTCAATTTAACACTGTTTTTGAGTGACAGGGAGAGTAAACCAGCATAATCAAAACTTCTACTTAAAAAAAATGCAAACTTAACAAGAATCATGCAAGGTTGTTTTTATTAAGCTTTATATTCAGATTACAGTTAAGTATTTTAAGATTACTTCATTTGGCAAGCAGACATGACATTCTAGGAAACATTTCAAGACACATCAAGGACTTTATAACTACTAGAAACAGAGCAACCTACTCTGCAGTTGAAGTGTATGTTAAGTACTTCAAGGGGTCATTAAGGGAAAGAAGCTAAATGACAACTGGTCCTTTTCTATAAAATGATTATCCTGGACAAGTAGCCACAAAGAAAAGCACATGGCTGTGACAGAGCTAGGGAGATCTTGCATCCAAGTCCATTCTTTTTATTTAGGATAGGAATTGGGGGCATATATGAGAAGGCAAACGATTCTTTCACAATAAGCTACATGTCAAGTCTTCTATGGGTAGTATTAATACTAGTGTGATTAGCCTATGTTTAAAAAACACAAGAAAAGAACAATTTTGTATTTAAAACCCACTTATATTAGTGACTGTAGGAAATGCTTAATTATTGAAGAGTCTTCTCTTTACTCTTGTAGTTTCCTTATGAGTTCTTCTGAGAGATTTTCATCGTGACTGTCTTGAGCTCTGTGTATTCATGGAAACCATATTCTCCCCTGGAGAGGGAAAAAAATACCCACAAACACCATTTAGCACAGCAGTGCAAATGTACCAGAGTCCATGATTTGGTACAAGTCTGTTCTTGCTTATCTGGCTAGAGACAATGAAAAATATTTTCTGTGTACAAAGCATTTCATATAGTAGCTAGTCAACCATAAGATGTCTGATCTTACATAAATTTCCTTTTTTAAAATTTAAAGGTTTTTTTTCATTTTAAATAATCATGTATTTTCAGTTGATTTTTCAGAAATTGTCCATTTTCGACATTATTCTACTCGACTTTAAAAGTTCTCACTACTCAAAAGACAATTCAGCCCAACAAGAATTTTATGCCTTCTAGTCTAGATTCATATAAATAAGATAGATATAGTACAAGATAAGAAGTACTAATACATAATCACTCCAGGGTGGTATAGTAAAACTGTGAACTAAAGTAGGGTTTATATTTACATGTGCAATGGGCATAGAAGCGGTGCAGGGTAAAAATGACCACGCTCCCATTTTCATTCTAAGGTGCCCTAATATGACTTGAAACAAAATATTTTGCAGATGTAGTTTTAAAGATATCTTTTGATTCTTGGCAAAACAAAAACCTAACCTATAATTTCATTTTTTTGATTGTTTGTTTTCTTTTTAAGAGGGGAAGAGAGAAAACTGGCTTAAATTTAGGCTTTTGTGCTTTTTGCAGTCATTGGTTTTCCCCCTTTATGCAGCCTCTTCTATCCCCTGCCATTTGCTTACTCAATTCTTAAGTTCAACTCAAATGATCAGGAATTAGTCCAAGTCAATTAATTTGGACCCTGGTATCTTGTTGTGAGGTTTATGGGGACTTCCTACTGGTTTTGGAAGCTGAAACTGACTTTGATTTACCCTTTGTTGAAGATATAACTACAAGGATTGGGTTTAGTTGTTCTCTGTATTTTTTTTTTAATTTAATTTTATTTTGTCAATATACAATGTGGTTGATTATTGTGGCCCATTACCGAAACCTCGCTCCATCCTCTCTCTCCCCCCTCCCTCACTGTTCTTTGTATTGCTTTGATGAGAGGATCAAATTACATGTATATAAGAGTATTCTTAAAATCATAACACCCCTGCACATGTAGGCTTACAGAGAAATGAGATCTTGATCCTTTTCTACCCCTCTCTTCTTGTGAGGCAGACAGGTATATAGAAGACATATTTTTCTCCTGGGTAACCTAATCCTCTTACACTGATTATTTTCTTGGGCAATTAAGCTTCTGAAAACACCTTTTAACAGCTTCAAAGAGCATGTTCTTCAAAGTAATTAAAGGGTTTAGCCTCAGTTGTCTGAAACCCATTAAAAGATAATATTTTAATAAGTATTTTATCTCACAAAGTTAGGGAAATTAACCCATGATTTTTACCAATAGGCTTTTCACTGTATTTTAGGTTTAATGGTCAGTTGAAACTTATTAAGAGACTAATAAGCGTGATTATTGTCATACTCAGGATAAAATAGGTTCTACTCCTTAGGATTCCTATGGATATATTATATTTATGATAAAGCACAGAAACATCAGTTTACATTTGTCTTTATCTTACTAGGTCTGTGATTTACTAGTTCTGTGCTTCTAAAATCTTCAATGTACAAATCAGTTGGGACCTCATTAAGATACTGATTCTGATCCTGTAGGTCTGGAGTGAGGCCTGGGGCTGTTCTAATAGACTTCCAGGTTATATCCATGCTTCTCATCCAGAGTCCATGCTATAAGGACAAAGGTAATAGTAACAAGTTACATCTGTTTTTCTCTATGTATCCAGAATGGAGACTGGCATTAAATAAGTAGGCACAGAGGAAATGTTTGCTGAACTGACTTGGCAAATATCATGAAACAAAAAATACACATCTGAGTTCTCTCTATAAGCTATGTAGTTTGCAATACTTTTTTGCTCCCCTTTTCTGAAAAGGACAGGAGAAAAAACTATCTTGTGAAGTGCTGAGAGCCAATTAAGGTTAAAACAGCATACCTGCAAAATCTCAAGTGACCTATGCTAACCTAAGTGAAAATGAGTGCAATTACATAAAAGGAAGAATTTCTCCATATAACCCATTCCAGTGCCAACACCATGACCACAGATGCAAAATCAAGGTCTGGGCACTCTGTATTACCAGACACATTGGGGTCTGCCTAGCACTATTTTTGGCTCTTTGAGGACTCTGTTCCCAGCTGATCAATTTTGCCTTTCTACTTTTGAGGACAAACTATAATTTAATTCTTGGGGGTCATTTGAAGTTATTGCTTCAGTAATTCACTTTAAATAGCTTGCAGCAAAGGACTTGTTTATTAAATTCACCAACTTTGGTTTAAGGGAGACTTGAACAGTAGCACTCTCAACTGGAATTTTTGAAGTAACAAAAAATACAGCAAAGCTTTTTCCTTTGTATTTTAAAGAAGAAAATTATCTGTATCCCCTTTCCAGATTTTTAAGAAACTACTGATGGTTGATTACTCTTTTCAGTCCTCCTCTTATTTGATTTCCTTATATCTCGACCTTAAAGTCTGACCAAATTGCATTCAACAAAATTGATGTGTTTGGTCTCCATTAGCCATTTCATTTTTTTGGTTATTTTACTTTCATTGTTCCCAGGGAAATGTGTGAAATCACTGGGCCAGCAATGAACAAATTGCCCTTCAGAGTAACTTAACTTTTGTCATAGTTTTTTGTACAAAGCAATTAGTTCTGACAATTGTTCCCAGGGAAATGTGTGAAATCACTGGGCCAGCAATGAACAAACTGCCCTTCAGAGTAACTTAACTTTTGTCATAGTTTTTTGTACAAAGCAATTAGTTCTGACAAGGGATTCTCTAGTAATGGACATTATAAAGGGAATAGTCTAGGGAAGGAAGAAACGTTTGTTGAGTCCCCACTGTGTGAGAGTTATATATAAGGGTAGGGACTGAACATTCAGCATGACATTTGACTGAAAACCTTCTTAAAAGGAATGTCAACATCTCCATTTTAAATATGAAGAAATAAAGGTTCAGAAGCTAGACAACCTGAATCAGTCTGCATGGCTAGCAAGTGGCAGGATCAGTATTTAAATGCAAGTCAGGCAGAGTCCAATCAAGTCTTCTCTGCTATGCCATCGACTTTTCATGGGTTGAATTTTTGACACTCTCTACCTCCTTGATATTCTAAAGGCATCCATGGTGTTTCTCTACCCCACTAATAAAGTTTGAAATCATGTTTCCTACCTGCATAAATACACACATCAACCAAGTTCACTAGCCCCTCAACAGACCACATGCAATGTTTCATTCAAGAATGCCTCCTCTCTACTTCCTGATGTACACACTTGCTTCACGCCCGAGGCGAAGTCCCCTTCTTCTATGAGGTCTTCTCTTACTCTATCAACTGCCATTAAGATTTTATCCACTGAATTCTCACTAGGGTTAGAACTATAGTTCTAATCTTAATCATGGAAAGGAGCTCAAAGACCCTCTAGTTCCTTCTCCCCCCATCCCAAGTACAATCCTTGACCTTGTCTGACAAATTAAAATAGTGAGGGTTAGAAAGATGCTGTACTAAATGGTATACTCTGGTGGTGCCCAGATTTTCTGTCCTTCAGTACTTTTCTCTGCACTTTAACTGCTTCTCTGCCCCATGAAGTATGGACTCCCTGTCTATTACTCCTTATTTCACAGAGTGCATATGTCATTTTACGTATTCTTCCTGCCACTAAAGTTATGTTAGAGGATGGAATATAGTGTCATATCTCTGGGGCTCTTGGGACCTAATCCAAGGGTACTTCAAAAAGTTCCTGGAAAATGGAATTAAAAGATAATATGAGTCTTTTTACGAACTTTTTGAAGACACCTCGTACAAAGCAAGTATTTAATGAATGCACATTGAGAAAGCAGATGGATCATTTTATCATTATTCCATTTCATCTGCTCTCCAAAGATATTTGTTTTATTGTAATTTTGCTGATTTGTTAAGACAAATGACAATTACCTGGTTATTTAATGCATTCATGACCTTCAGAAACTGAGAAAGACTCATTTTTATTTGCTGTTTACAAAACTGGCAGTTTTATGATGTTTGCATCTATAAGGTTTATATATGATTTATCTTTTTTCTTCATAAATTTTTAAATTTATTGAAAAATGTAAGAAATTTTTAAGAAATAAAATGCTTAAATTTCTTGAACAAAATTAACTCAACATATTGCCACTACTTTCTGTACATACTTACATATGTACTCATTCTTAAAAATCTATATATTGTGATTTCAAAAGCAACTGAAGGCTCATAAATGCATTTATATATAAATATTCTCAATTCATTTACTACTGTAAAATATGTTTTTCTTAGTCAAATTTCTTTTTAGTTTTGGATTTTAGTACCAAAAATAACTCATTCAGGTAATTCAGATTTTAAGGTCTACATCAATAATATTTCAACAGATGAGAATCATTATTCTTATATTGAAATTTTTTGAGATGAGGCACCTGATTTACTGAAGAGGTATATTCAAATAATTAGAATGTTCTTACATTTGCACACTTCTTATAATTGCCAATTTATAGTTTTCTCCTCCTTTCTGGAAATGTTTCCCAAATAGATTACATTCATATATGAATAGTAAGCAATTCTAACAGTAAGCAATGTTTCAATCACCAATGTAAAGTTCTTAGTATGGTCACATATACGGTAGGAGCTTAATACATTATATTTCTCTTCTGCCACCACCTTTCTGCACTCATGGGGTACATTAACATTTCATAAGCTATTTGATGGTATGAATCTCCAAGAAAGAACAGAGGTAAGTTTTATTTAAGGTGGCAACTGTGGATTAATTTTTTGGAAGCGAAAACTATTTTCATCAAGATAAGTTTTTGTCTTAATAGAAAGTTTTTCTTACAATTCTCGTCCATTTCCAGACATTTTGAATCCACCAAAGGAATTCTGGGCAGATATCACACTATAGCAATTCACCCTGAGAAGAAAAAAAAAAAAATACATTATAAATAATACTTAAACTATGAGATAACTCCTAAATTGGAAATTCCCCTGAGAAGAAAAAAAAAAAAAAAATACATTATAAATAATACTTAAACTATGAGATAACTCCTAAATTGGAAATTTTAGAAATTCAGAGAGATCTTTAAGAACTCTATTAATTTTCACATAACATAATCATTGTGATAAAAAAAGCAGCACTAAAAATTAGAATGTAGAAGTATAATATGGATTATATGTATTTATATGGATATATACTACCTAGAAACAAAGAGAATGGTACAACTCTGCATGTGGATAGCCGTTTTGGTAGTATGTCATGTCTATGAGAAGCGGTAGTTTGAATTATAGAAGTTAAATGGCCAATGTACTGTGGACAGGAGGACATGGTTTTTTAGAGACTGAAGTTTGTTGGATGATTGTTTCTTAGTGTGTATATTCAAATAAGCTTTGTAATTTTCTTGAGGTTTGTGTACTTAACAGGCTAGAATAAATTTTCTTTTGCAATTGCAATATGTATCATATCAATCAGTTCATTTATTTTTTCATTAATTGGTTCAACAAATTGCTTAAACAGAGGCCTTGGCAAGAGTTGGATTTAACTATCAATTTGTTTATTCCCTGTCATATTTCATAAGGTGTATCAGGATGGTTATAAGGACAAATATAATTACAAAGACATGAATATTAGAATTAATGAAAAAAATCACAATAGAAGATTAACAGAAGGGGGAAATTAGAATGCAGTTACGCAGGTCGTGAACGATTCATTTAGCTTTTACTTTCCTGGTGGCCAAAGTTAACAGCAAAATATAATTATTTACATGACTTTCATTACACAAAAGAGGAAGCAATTTTTTTAAAGGAGAAAACAATGTTCTTTTTTTATACTTTTCCCTGCATTCATGCTATTATAACAGGTGAACAATAGTGTGACTTCCAGAAAAATCGTATTACACTTGGAAGAGTTCGGTTATTACTTTGGTCCTGAGATAACATATAGAAGTTTCCTCAGTTAAAACACTACCCCAGATCATAGACTTCGACATTCTTGGTGGACCACAGAGTTCTTATCCATGTCTCCCCTCCTAGAGGGATTGTTCCTTAAATAAATTTAAAATTAATTTGTCTCAGCTTTGTTTAATCATTCTTTAAATTGCAAAATCACATGCCTACTTTGAAATTAGGAGTAAAACTCCAATAACTTTGGAATTCAATAGTTGTCCTTACAAGACCAAACAGCTATTAGGTCTGGAACAATGCCAGGATATTATTATGCTTTAGGATATACAGCAATAAGAATATGTTCCCTTCCATTTTAATAGTATAGAAATTCCTGACTGGTGCTTCCCAAGATACTCGGTGCACTGATATTATAAAGGAATTTTTACCAAGCAGGCATGTGATATTCTGTTATTCTAAAATCAAAAGCCTTGGGGGAGTTCTGGTCCAGACAGCAGAGTAGACGGTTCCTAATGTTGCTCTCTCCCACAAATAGACCAATTTGCAACTATTACAAAGCAACAACAGGAGGCCCAAGATCTGCACTGGAACAAGCAGGAGCCATGTGCCAGGGAACCCCAGTCCAGGCCAGTGCCCACTTCCCAGAGAGGTCTGAGAGCCATGGGACAAACATGCCCTGAGTCAGCCACACCGGAAAAAGCAGTTGCTGCGGGACCTCCATCCCAGGATAGTCCCTGCCGCTTAGAGAGATTTAAGAGCCACTGGGCCCATATGCCCTGAATCAGTCTCACCAGAAAAGACAGGTGCCATGGGACCTCCAGCCTAGGTCAGTCCCCACTGCTCAGAGAGGCCTAAGATACACCGGGTCCACATGCCTCAAGTTGGCTGTGCTGGAAGAAGCAGGTGACGTGAGAAGCCCCAGCCCAGGCCAGTCTCTGCTTCCCAGAGAGGCCTGAGAGCCACCGGACCCACATGCCCCAAGAAAGCTGTGCCAGAACAGGCAGGTGCCATGGGATCCCCAGCCCAGGCTAGTTCCTGCTGCCCAGAATTGGTAGTCCCTTCAGGATTCAAGCCAGACATCAGGGTGAAATGAGTGGACTGTGATACCCCCTGCCACAATGACAAAACACCAAAGGAAAGATACCAGAGATATGAAAAATCAAGAAAGTACTTTACCACCAAAAGAAAATAATAACTCTCAAGCTCTAGATCCTACAGAACAGGAAGTCTTTGAAATGACTGAGAAGGAATTTAGAGCAATAATTCTAAGGAAAGTAAATGAGGTACAAGAAAACTCAGATGACACTATGAAATGAGAAAAAGTATATAGGATCTGAAAGAAGAAATGTACAAAGAAATCAATGCCTTGAAAAAGAATGTAGCAGAGCTTGTGGAGCTGAAGGATTCATTCAACGAAATAAAAAACACAATAGCGAGTCTAACCAGCAGACTTGAACAAGCAGAAGAGAGAATTTTTGATCTTGAAGACAGGCTGTTTGAATTAACACAGGCAAAAAGAAAAAAGAAAAAAAAAATAAAAATTGAAGAAAATCTAAGAGAGATAAGAAAAAACCTTAAGCACTCAAATATCCAAATCATGGGTATTCCAGAATTGGAGGAAAAAGGAAACACCATTGAAAACATATTCAATGAAATAATAGCAGAAAACTTCCTAGGTATAGGGAAAGTCACAGATCTTCAAATTCAGGAGGCCCAAAGATCCCCAAACATATTCAACCCCAAAAGGTCCTCTCCAAGACATGTAATAGTCAAACTGGCAAAACTCAAAGACAAAGAGAGAATCTTAAAGGCTGCAAGAGAGAAGCAGCAAGTCACCTATAAGGGAGCCCTAATCAGAATAACGTTAGACTTTTCATCAGAAACCCTAAAAGCCAGAAAAGAATGGGATGATATATTCAAAATACTAAAGGACAAAAATTGCCAGCCAAGAATACTTTACCCAGCAAGGCTGTCCTTCTGAAAGGAAGGACAAATAGTATATTTTTCAGACAAACAAAAACGGTGGGAGTTTACTACCACACAACCAGCCTTACAAGATACCTCAAAAACAACCATCACTGCCATGAATACTCAAGAAAGAACAAAACCTACCAGTAAAACAAAAATGCTAACAATAAAAAAAAAGTTATCTACCACCCCAAGAAACCAACAAATACAGAAGACAAAAAGAAAATCAGAAAGAAAGGGACAAAAGATACTTAAGACAGCCAAACAAAAATCAATAAAATGCTAGGAGTAAATCAACACCTTTCAATAATAACTCTAAATGTAAAAGGGATTGAATTCCCCACTCAAAAGACACAGACTGGCTGACTGGATTAAAAAGATGGACCTAACAATATGCTGCCTTCAAGAGAACCACCTCACCTATAAAGACTCACATAAACTAAGAGTGAAAGGATGGAAAAGATGTATCATGTAAACAGAAATGAAAAACGAGCTGGAGTAGCTATTCTTATCTCAGATACAATAGACTTTAAAGCAAAAACCATAAAAAGAGACAAAGAAGGCCACTATATAATGATGAAAGGATCTATCCATCGAGAAGATATAACAATCATAAATATATGTGCACCCAGTGTCAGAGCAGCCAGATTTATAAAGCGAGCACTATTAGATCTAAAGAATGAGATAGACACTAACACATAACAGGAGGGGACCTGAATACCCCACTTTCAGGGGACAGATCATCTAGGCAAAAAATTAATAGAGAGACACAAGATCTAAACAACACTTTAGAACAATTGGACTTGGCAGATATCTACAGAACATTCCATCCAACAACCTCAGAGTATTCATTCTTCTCATCAGCATATGGACCATTCTCCAGGATAGACCAACATGTTAGGTCACAAAGCAAGCCTCAACAAATTCAAAAAAATTGGAATTATTCCATGTATTTTTTCCAATCACAATGGATTAAAATTAGAAATCAGTAACAAACAAAACTCTGGAAACCATATAAACACATGGAAATTAAACAACATTCTACTCAATGACATATGGGTCCAAGAAGAAATTAAACAGAAAATCAAAAAATTTCTTGAAACTAATGAAAATGACACATCATACCAAAACCTGTGGGATACTGCAATACAGTACTAAGGAGGAAATTTATTGCATTAAATGCTTACTTCAGAAGAATGGAAAGATGGCAAGTGAACAACCTAATACTTCACCTTAAAGAACTAGAAAAACAAGAACAATCCAAACCCAAAGTTAGCAGATGGAAAGAAATCATTAAGATCAGAGCAGAACTAAATGAAATAGAAACCCGAAAAATGATACAAAAGATCCATGAAACAAAAAGTTGTTTTTTTGAAAAGATAAATAAAATCGACAAACCTTTAGCAAGGCTAAATAAAAAAAGAAGAGAAAAGACCCAAACAAAAAAATTAGAAATGAAAAAAGGTGATATTACAACAGACACCTCAAAAATACAAGGAATCATTAGAGACTACTATAAACAACTATATGCCAACAAATTTGAAAATCTGGAGGAAATGGATAAATTTCTGGACACATACAAACTACCAATACTGAGGCAAGAAGATATAGAAAATCTGAACAGACCAATAACAATAAAAGAAATTGAAGTTGTTATCAGAAGGCTCCCAACAAAGAAAAGCCCAGGACCTGGTGGGTTCACACAAAGTTCTACCTAACCTTCAAAGAGGAACTGATACCAATTCTCCACAAATTGTCCCAAAAGATTGAAACCGAGGCCATTCTCCCAAACTCATTCTATGAAGCAAACTGCTTTCATTCTGATATCAAAACAAGATAAAGATGCATCAAAAATAGAAAACTAGAGGCCAATATCCTTGATGAATGTAGATGCAAAAATCCTCAATAAAATACTAGCTAACAGAATACAGCAACACATACACAAAATTATACACCATGATCAAGTGGGATACATCCCAGGGAGGCAAGCTTGGATCAACATATGCAAACCAATAAATGTGATACACCACATCAATAAAAGCAAAGACAAAAAACATATGATCATCTCTACAGATGCTAGAAAAGCATTTGACAAAATTCAACATTCTTTCATGATAGAGGCTCTCTACAAGTTAGGTATAGATGGAAACTATCTCAACACAATTAAAGCCATATATGATAAGCCCAATGCTAATATCATATCTCAAGAACAGAAACTAGACAAGGATGCCAACTCTCACCACTTCTATTCAACATAGTGTTGGAAGTACTAGCCAGAGCAATCAGAGAAGAGAAGGAAATACAGGCATCCAGATTGGAAAGGATGAAGTCAAACTGTCCCTGTTTGCGGATGACATGATCCTATAAATTGAACAGCCTAAAGTCTCTACAAAAAACCTACTAGAGTTGATAAATGATTTCAGTAAAGTTGCAGGATACAAAATCAACATGCAAAAATCAGTAGCATTTCTATACTCTGACAGTGAACATGCAGAAAAAGAAATCAAGAAAGCTAGCTCATTTACAATAGCCACCAAAAAAATAAAATACTTAGGAATAAAGTTAACCAAGGATGTGAAAAATCTACAAAGAGAACAATGAACCACAGTTGAGAGAAATTAAAGAGTACACATATATTTAGTTTGATATAATCCCATGCTCTTGGATTGGAAGAATTAACATCATGAAAATGTCCATATTACCCAAAGTGATTGACAGATTCAATGCAATTCCCATCAAAATTCCAATGACATTTTTCTCAGAAATGGAAAAACCTACCCAGACATTTATATGGAATAAAAATAGACCATGCACAGCCAAAGCAATCCTGAGCAAAAAAATAAAGCTGCAGGCCTAACACTACCTGACTTTAAGCAATATTACAAAGCTATAATAACCAAAACAGCATGTTACTGGCATAAAAACAGACATACGGATCAATAGAATAGAACAGATAACCCAGAAATCAACCCATACACCTACAGCCATCTGATCTTTGATAAAGGCAGCAAGTCTACACAATGGGGAAGACAAAAAATGCCTCTTCAACAAATGGTGCTGGGGAAACCAGATATTCATATGTAGGAGAATGAAACTAGACCTGTACCTCTCACGATATACCAAAATCAACTCAAAATGGATTAAAGAATTAAATATACATCCTGAAACAATAAAATTCCTTAAAGAAAACATAGAGGAAACACCCCAGTAAGTAGGAGTGGGTACAGACTTCATGATTAGGACCCCCAAAGCACAGGCAACTAAAGGTAAAATAAACAAATGGGATTATATCAAACTAAAAAGCTTCTGTACAGCAAAAGAAACAATTAACAGAGTGAAAAGACAACAAACAGAGTGGGAGAAAATATTTGCAAAATATGCATCAGACAAAGGATTAATATCCAGAATATACTAGGAACTCAAACAACTTTACAAGAAACAAACAACCCAATTAAAAAATGGGCAAAGGAGCTGAATAGGCATTTCTCAAAGGAAGGTACATGAATGGCCAACAGACACATGAAAAAAAGCTCAATATCACTTAGCTTTTGGGAAATGCAAATCAAAACCACTTTGAGATACCATCTCACTCCAGTTAGGATGGCTAATATCCAAAAGACTGAGAACGAGGTTGCCCTAGAAATGACTTAGCAATGGGCCGGCCCGGTGGCGCACTGGATAGCGCGCCGCTTGGGAAGCGCGGCGGCGCTCCCGCCCGGGTTCGGATCCCACATACAGACCGGTTCCCGCTCACTGGCTGAGCGAGGCGCGGGAGCAACACCGAGGGTTGCAATCCCGTTGCCGGTCACCGGTCCGGAAACATTCCTTTTACTTACTTTCCAATGTTTGCTGAAGTTCATGGATGGTACTAAGAAGAACATGAAACTGTTTCCGTCTCAATTCCAGCTGTGTTAACAAGAAACAAAATTTATACAAATTGATCTATAAACATATGTATATCTCACAAAGGCTAATATACATATATACAAATACCTTATCTTCAACGCTTTCTTTAATATGTGAAAGATGCTCTAATTCTTTTCCCAGAGCCTCTAGTTCTCTTAAAAAAAAAAAAAAAAAAAAAGAAATGACTTAGCAATACTTATGTTGTATTTAACAAAACATCAATAAAATATTTTGGGCAAGCAATTTCAGAATGCTGGATAGAGTTAAAATACCCTTCTAAAGTTCTTCCAACAAAGCAGGTTTTGTTTTCTTTTGTTTTTTTAGGGTACCAATTGCTTTTCTAGCAGGCCATGTAATTCCAAATGAAAAATCCAAATCTGAAAACGTTCAAGGTAACATGGTACTGTGGTTAACATTGAAAATGCTGTATTACTTAGGCTGACTTACCACACTGTCCCTGCCTGCAGAGCAGAGGAGACTGTCATGGCTTTATCAAGGTCTTGCGTGAAGATTCCTGCTGCTAAGCCATAGTGAGTATTGTTTGCTCTCTTGATCACATCATCTAAAGATTTAAACTTCATGATTTGCTGCACTGGACCAAATATCTATACCACAAGAAGTGAATTAAAGATAGAACAGGTTATAGTCTTTTTTTTATTCTATAAACAATCCTAAATTAAGATTTTGCTTCATACATCAAAACTCTATGTAGGAATCAAAATAGGCAGCTGCAGAAATGGTAGGTCAAAACATGCAATGGTCATGTGTAAAATTCTCTTTGGAACAAGATAAGGTACAAAGAAGTAAGGCAACATTTATTTTCTAGGTGTTGGAATTAAGCTTCTAAGAATGTGCAATTTTGCATCAAATCATTACCTTCAGAATTTCTTTTCCATTTGAAAACATTCTAAATTCTCTCCCTAGTTTTTCTCATCTTCCGAGTTACTGCATATAACAGCAAGCCTGAGAATGCACTGCTTGCTCTGCTGGATAAGTGAATTGCAATGACCAACAATAATAATTATGTTTTCAATACCAGCATACCATTGATTGAAATATTAACTATTGTAATGTACTTAGATCTTTTCATAATTAGTTAAGTTAGGTAAAACAGCATGAATTTTTGTTCAGATTCTATTCTGTAGCCAAGTCTTATGCAACTTATGTATACTAAATAGAACAGTTCATTACTGCAAGAGCTTAAATCCTGAGCCACCCTGTACTAACCAAAGCATGAGTTCATTAGCAATGGCTATAATCACAGGATAAGTAACCAAAATTACAATTTGCTTATTTTAGCCTAAACCACTTTTTCACTTTTTCTGGACTCTCTAGTTAACACAGCCCAAACTCAACCCATTCTGTATTTGTATCAGCCCCGGGTAAAAGAAAAACTGGATTTTCTCTTAAAAATTAAGCTCTATATTAAATTTCAATAAAACATTTATTAAAATTAAATAAAAGTGGGGCTCCTCTGAGTGTTAGCAGAATTCTCTGGGAAATGTGAACAAGCAGAATAAAAAAATCAGAAACAACAAATGATTTTCTGGTGTTTACCACTGATTTAAATGTTAGAGGGTTGGGGGCTGCCATTCTATGGAGGTCGAGTGCAAATTCTAAGGTTGTAAATCTAATTATGATACTGTAACCTAGAAATCAGATATATAGCAGTTAGTATCATAAATGTGTTCATATTTTACATAATTTTAATTGAACACAGCACATGGCTCCAGGCTCCCACTTTGAAATAGCAAGCTAGCTGTTCTATGTGTATTGTAGGAACACATAAATATTTTCTTGATCCTTTCTATCTGGTATTCATCAATATATGCAAGAACAACAGCTCTAATTAGACAAGTGTTTGCCAATAAGTGAAAAGTCATAATTCAGCTGAGTATTGAACTAAGACACTATGTTTGATTACCCACATGCATTTGCTTTTATTTTTGTTTTTCCTATTTATTTTCTCTGTTTGCAAATCTAACTATGCACTTTACCCCTGGATTGGTGACTTTCTTGAAGGTAAAGAAAATAATGCTCTCAGATTCTCTGTCATTTCATGGACATGAAATCAAACTTTATAAGTGAATTATTATTCAGTACCTTTGCGTTGCCAATGCCTTCTTATTGTATGTAGTGCACTATATAACATTTTTGCAGCCCAAAGCCAGTGCATCTATCTGCTTTTATTAAAAGCCCTTGGTGTCCATGAGGTAGATTATTTATAATTCCTAAATGCAAAGTAGCTTTTCCCAGTTATAGCTCATATCACTAGACAACATTTTTCTTGATGTTAGTTTGTGCTCATCAAATATTTAACTATAATATGCAATATATTACACAATATAATTATGTGTAAATACATTGTATATATTCGATTTATATAATAAATAAATATATATTATTTGTAAATGTATTAGAAATATTCATCTCCTACATCACTCCCCACACTCCATGTGCTCTCGGCCCTCTATTTTTCAGCTGTTAGACTTCATAATTTTGTATATTATACTTAAATATTTGGCAAGCAGTAATACACAATATAACATTTTGGTCAACAATAGACCACATATGATAGTGGTCCCATAAGATTGTAATGGCTATACTACATACTCCAGGTCTGTAGTAGGCTATCACCTAGGACTTTGTAAGCATACTCTGTGATATTCGCACAAAGATAAAATCACCTAATGACACGTTTCTCAGAATGTAGCCCCATTGTTAAGCGACACATTACTCTGTGTGTGTGTGTGTATATATACATATGTATATACATACATATATATATATATACACACACATACACGTAATTTGCACATAATTTGGGATATTGTAGTTAAATATTTGGTGAGCATATATATGTGCATATACACACATATATGTATATTATATTTATTTACACATAATATATATAATATATATATTTATCTATACATAATATATGCTCATCAAATATTTAACTACAATACAGAATTAGGAAGTCTAACAGGTGAAAAATATAGGCCAGAGCACATGGAGGGTGGGGAAAGATGTAAGGGATGAATGCTATTTTCCAATATACGGATGGCTCTCACATAGAAAAGGGCCACAGGGAAAATTTGGAACCAGCTGGTAGAATATAAGTACTAATATTTTGTGGCATGAACACTTAAAGTGTACTCCCTTAGCAATTTTCAAGTATACAATACATTGTCATTAACTGCAGTCACATATTGTACAAGGAACTTACTCTTCCTGTCTAACTGAAATGCTGTACACTTTGACCAACATGTCCCCAGGGCTCACCCCCGACCCTCCCAAGCCCCTGGTAACAACCATTCCACTCCTTGCTTCTATGAGTTTGACTTTTTGAACTCAACATGTAAGTGAGGTCCTGTGGTATTTGTCTTTTTGTGCTTGGCAAATCTCACTTAACATAATGTCCTCCAAGTTCGTCCATGTTTTCGCAAATGACAGAATTCAATTACCTTAAAACTGTGAAGGAAGCACCCAAACATTGTTAAGCATTTTGATCTGTTTAGAAATTCTTGCCTGGCCCAATGATTTTTTCTATTTTTAATTTTGATCACAAATAACTTATACCTTTATCAACAACATAAGTGAAAAGTAACTGACAAAGATGTTCAAAGAAGTGAGAATTTTAAAGGAACACTGTGCATACACACATGCAGGCCAAACAGGGGAACAAAGAGAACAGAACAGAACGAGGCCATTTACCTCCTCTTTGGCAATGCGCATCCCGTCTGTGACATTAGAGAAAACCGTGGGCTGGATAAAGTAGCCTTTATTCCCCCAAGAGCCTCCACCACATTCCAGTTTGGCTCCTTCTTTCTTTCCACTCTCAATGAGGTCAAGTATTTTCTCATATTGTTCCTTGTCAATCTATTTGAAAAATATCACATTAAAAGGAAAAGATTAACACCATGTAAAGATAACACATTGCTGGGCCTGTGAACGAGGGTTTCCAAACTCTAGGATGTTGCTATTAAGTCAAATATTGAATCAAAACAGTTCACAGAGGCTCAGATTTACTCTTTAGGTATATTTCCTTCTCATGACTTTTTAGGAAAGAAACCTTGAAGATAGATATTTGTATTTAGCACTTGTTTTACAGTTAGGTAAGAAAAGCATATTGGCACTGCGGACACACATTAACCTTTCACACAACTGTCATTTATTCACTCTGGAAGAAATGCCTGTTAATAATGCAACACATTTACCTAGAAACTGTAGCCCTAACTGAAATAAAAAGGGTAAAAGGAGAAAAAAAGAACTTTGACACTGGGTGTAATTAGATATGACAGTCAAAATGCAGATGCTTTTGGACTTTAAGAAGACTCCTGCAGCTGTGTCTCTGAGCCAGCCACCCAGCTTAGTCCGTGCCCTGGGGTACCACATTTTGAGCATAGTTTAGGCATCCTCCCCAGGTCAGTTTTCATTAGGGCGGCCAGTAGGTTTGGTTCCAATTTCTGGCCTGTCTTAGTTGTCACCATCCTGCATCATTAGATAGGCCATATCTAAATATGCGACAAATATCACAGAAGTTAAATAGCTTTCTAAAGTATTTTTTTATAAGGAAAAAAAAAGTGAGTTCAGAGGAAAGCAAGACATTTATAGCATTTGTTAATTTTCCTCCCATCTTTAATTCCCAGCATGGCTTTGAAACTGTTTATAGGCATGACAACCAGGTAACACAAAAATAGAATGATTTCATTATCATTGAGAATTAGATTGTTTGTTTCTTCATCACCAAACTGGCACAGCCTTGTTACCTAGGAAGATGCATAGATGGAAGTAATCTTAATAAAAACTAGGCCTAAAGAAGATAGTTTATTCTTGTCCCCTGCAAATGCTATTCCATCTAATGAGTACTCACCTGAGGGCCTTGATTTACTCCAGGGGTTAAAGGGTTTCCAAGAACATACTTCTTAGCCCGCTCAACACTCCTTCGAACAAACTCATCGTAAATTGATTCTTCCACAAAAAGCCTGGATGCTGCTATACAACATTGGCCCTGGTGGTAGAATAACCCTTGGTGTGCAATTTCAACAGCAACGTCCACTGCAAAGAAGACATTCACATTAAAGAGGAAGTATTTTCTTTTCTTTTCTTTTTTTTTTTCCTTTTTGTCTTTTTTACTGACCGGCAACGGGATCGCAACCCTCGGTGTTGCACCCGCACCAGGG